TCTTTCCTACTTCCATCTTAAACAGAGGGACTAGGAATCCTAAGGGATCATGTGAAAAAACACAAGTAAACACCATAGTAATCAATCACAAATGAAAACAAACTCAAGACTTAATCAAGTCTCAAGAGAAGAAAAAGAAGAAAGAAGAATGAGAGATGAAGAAAAAGGTGCAACAACACGTAAGCAAACAAGAAATTCACTCCATAAGACATAAGTGTCACACAAGCACAAACACTAGGTTCAAACATACAACAAAAACATTAACATCATGTAAAATAGCAACATGTGCTCACATGTCAAACCATAACCGAAGATTAGAAGTCAAAACAAATAAACAAAATAAAGCACCACTGCATACACAAATGACTTAAAATCAAACAAGAAGCATTTTCAATCATCAAGCACAGTGAAACGAGTTCAAATGATATGAGAACCAAGGTAGGGCAGTAACAATGTCAAGATATATTAAACTCATGTCAATGGTTAAAGGATGAGCAAAAAGATTTAAATCACGCATCAATATCCAAACACAATCAATTGTTACACAAACAATCATGTAAAGACACACCTCAAAGATGTAAACATGTAAACTCAAGACATGAATCCAAATGGGAAGAAACATGTACATACATATCAATATATCATCAACACACTAATCGCAAGAAGAAGTTTCAAAAATCAAACTCAAAGTAAACACCAAGACTAGGCAAGCACATACCAAAATTATCCTTAGAGAAAAGGAAATGTTCAAGCAAACCACAATGCACAAATGATCAAACAAGACACACCATATCATCGAGGTCAGAACCATACACAAATGATACACATCATATTCATATCCAAGTTATTAACCAAACTCAAGAAGGATCATGTTCAAATTATGCTTAAGAAAACACTCGGAACGCTTATTCGAAGGAAACACAAAATCATGTGAAGGAATGGATGAGAAATGGTCATACAATGGATATCAAATCATGGGAATCAAACACTCAAACATGTCATCTAAAAGCCTATAAGAACACATAATCATCCCTTTGACCAAACAAGAAAGCAACTCAAAGAATTAGGTTAGGAACACCGAAGGAGTGAGGCCAAAACATCATTAACTTGGAAATTCAACCATAAATAAAAAAAATAATCAAATGAAGATGAGATCAAATCTCAAACCAACTTAAAACAGTCAAGGTTCATCATGAAAAGGATCTCAAAGAGATTGTTCAAATATAACACCAAACCAAGCCAAACAAAATCGTATGTGCAACTAATCGGGCATAAACCAAAAGTCAAATGAAACCACATGAAAAGTAATTAAAATATAACCACCAAAGTATCAAAGCCACACTCAAATAATCATCAAACAAATTTCTAAACATGGTAAAAATATTGGGCCAAGAAGTGTTTCAAAAGTCGTCAAACGACAAATTCTTGTTCAAGGGGTAAACATGTAAAAGCACTTGTCAAATTAATTCAAAATAAAATAATAAAATAAATTAAAAAATAAAATAAAATTAGTCAAAAAAAATAACATACCAAAGATTAATAAACATATTTTTGTGGAATTTTATCATATTTTTATCAATTAAAATAAAATGCAAACAAAAACAAAACAAAACAAAACAAATGAATAAAAGAGCACAAGAAAGGAGGGTGCAACAACAAGTCTCGAAAGGGGCCACGAAACTGGGCCCAAAACAAGGGTGCAGACAGCAAAAGGTCTAGGCCCAAGCTAAATAATGTTGTGACAAAATAAAATAAAAGATAATAACATTATGTCATGTAACAAAAATCAATTGGTCACATTTTCATTAAACACTAAAAGACAAAACACTAAAAACAAAACACACTTCATCTTCTCCAACACAACCTTGGTCCGATCAGACCACCCTCACCCACCACGGCCGGTCGCCGGAGCCACCGTGGGGCTCCCAAGAACGGCGTCGGCCGCCGCCGCTGGTAGTGGAAGTCGCGGGTGGCGGCATTTCAAGACCACTCCCCCCATGTTTTTCCGCATAGAATCCGAATATCTGGTCAAAATTTCCAAAAAAAGCCTCTAAGCTCAAAAAAATTCACCATGAAAGTGGTGCACATAAATTTCCACTTCAACAAATTAAAACAACATGGGTACCATTCTCAAGGATTTTTCATGTAGATTTAAAATATGCCATTAGTTTCTAAAAATAACCATTAAAAACTCTAGAAAACAAGCAACAAAGCATGCATCCAAAAAATGAAAATCACATATTCATGCACAAATAGAGCCTACACGAAGTAGGACTTCAACTCATGTCCCAACATGCTTCTAACAATCAAGTGAGCCTAAAATGATGCAATATAGTAATGATAAAAGTTTAAGTTGTTACCTAACGGAAAAAATTCTGGTGGCTCTTTAAATCTTGAACAACTTGAGCCAAGCTTGAAGAAAACCTTGTATTCCTCCTTTAGAGACCCCAAGGATGGTAGATAACTCAAAAGAAATGAGAAAACTAGTGTAGAAAACTCAAAATGAAAATGAAAGCTCACTAGAAAAAGAGAGATATTTTGCCCTAAAACTCTGAAAAATGAAGCCTTTATCTTCTCATCTAGGGTTTATAAGGTATTTATATGATGGGTTGAAGTGATTTGTGGTCCAAAATAAAGAAATAAAGTTGTTTGAAAAATTGGTCATGGATGTAAGGTGGAATCCGAATTTGGCATGTATGGGGTGGTTTTGTTATGTCCTTGGTGAGTGGAAATGAGAGGGGAAAAAATAAAAATAAAAGGGTGGAGATAGCACACTTGTTGTGCAAGTTTGAAATTTCTCTTATTGTGGTAATATGGTGAAAAAGCATGCATGAGTGGTATATGATTTGTTTGGTTCTTTTGGGCAATGATTTTGTGAGCAAAAGAGAGGTATTATGTGTGTGTGGATTGGTAGCAAATCATGCTGCAAGAAATGTCCAAACTTCATGCAAGAAAAAAATTCAAGAATAGTGCATTAAAACCAAATTCACATAATCATCTTTGAAGCATAATATCTTGATGAACTTTGGCTCAAATGGTGAGTTCTTGTCTGCAATGAAAAGCTAAGCCCATAATGAACAATTCTCATGTTAAGGGAAAGGTGAAATAAGCCTTTGAAGTTTGAGAAAAATGGAGTGTAAGTCATGTATAAAATTCTACCCAAGATAACTTAGAAAAAATCCAAATTATGAAACTTTTGACATCATTGACATCTTGACTTTAAAAGCACACAACTTGAGTTCTACACATCCAATGAAATGGTTCTAATACTGAAAAGAAAGCTTGGAGGATGCTCTAGAACTTTCATGTTCAGGGAAAATTCATTTGAAACTCGTATCATCATGAAAGGTGGGCTTGAAAGTAGGTACTTCGAGCTGAATTTCTACACTTAGAAAAAAATTCTAAGTGTTGAAATGTCAAAATCTCCATTTTCTCAACTTTAGTTCATCATATCTCTCAAACCATGTGTCTTTTGGACATGCCTCCTTCCACAAACTTGTAGTTCATGATGTCCTCTTTAATTTGATAACAAGTTTGCCTCCATTGGATCAAGGACGAGAAAATTATGGAAGTTGCAAGGTGGCTAGAATTGGGGTTTTCTACACTTCGAAAAATTTCCACCAAAACCCCAATTTAGTCAAACTCTTAATTTTATGTTTCTCCTTGATTCTCCTTGTTCCAAACACACGAAATCACTTTAAAACATATATCATGCTCTTAATTGACCTTGAGACCCAAGGTTTTTGACCCCATTGAACCATAGTTGATTTTTGTTGACCAGATGAAACCCTATGACCATTTCCATTGATTGAGTCTCTTGTGATGACTTGTGATGACACATAATCCATGTAGAGGACCCCCAAGGTGTGTGTTAAGCTTTAGAACCATGTCCTGCCCAAATCTTCTTTGAACCAAAAATCCTAATCAGTTATCCATGAGATAAGAGGAGGAGAATCAATGCATGTGCTCTAATGAACCATTCTTTATCAATAACTCGTAGGTAGTTAGTTTAATTTACCTCGTAATTACTCGAATGAATATCTCATATTTTGTTCATCTGATTAGTCAATTCATGGATTCCCCATGTGCCACTCATTATGTCGTTGTAATTTGGGTAATTCGATATATCAAAAGTACTCTATTTTATGGTCTTCATTACTAGTTATATCCCAGCTGATTCTTAGAGCATACTTTAATGCTTATTGGGCCAATGACACGAGTGATCGTCGCTTCACCACTGATTTTTGGATTTTTTTTGAAGATTCTCTTATTTTTTTGGCATAGAAAGAAACAAAGGTTGACAACACACTCTAGCACTAAAGTTGGATATCATACTTTTATTGATACTACTTTCGAGATACTGTAGCTCCATTAACTTCTTACTGAATTAGAAAAATCTTAATCTTCACACACTTATCTTTATTATGATAATTGTATTGTCATTCAAATTTTCTCTAATGATATTTTCAATGAGTGAATAAATTATATTAAAGTTGATTATCACTTTATTCATCAACATGTTATCTTGATTGACATTCTTGATCAACCTATTGATTTTAATATATATTCAATTACATATATTTAATCTATATATCCTAACACATGTTTAATACATTACAAAAGTTAATGAAACTCATATTTAAATGAGATTTACAAAATAATTATGATGTATACAATAAATATTTATAATATTATAAAATTAATTAATACAAAATGTAGGATAGATTTGAGTATGGATAGTCCTATATGTTTACTTTTTTAACCGTACACAAGAGATTTTACTTAAAGTAATAGTCATAACTAAAATGACTGTTTACCTTTTGCAAATTCCAACTACTCTGATTTTCTATCATAAAATAATTAAGAAGATAAAGGATAATTCTGTAAAGACACAGCTACAGTCTCCTGGTTGATATTTTCTAGATTTCTTCAACCAAAAAACCCTATCAGTAGAAATTAAGACGACGAGAATCTCAAAGCAACGAACGGAAAATCCTCCGATGGCGGAGCTTCCATCGGAAGTAATCACCGAAATCCTCTCACGTGTTCCGGCCAAACCTCTCCTCCGCCTCCGCATCATCTGCAAGTGGTGGCGCTCCCTTATCGACAGCACCGACTTTGTTTTCTTCCACCTAAGCAAATCTCGAGATTCCATTATCATTCTCCGGCAACACTCTCGTCTCTTCGAACTGGATTTGAACTCCATGGATAGAGTTAAGGAACTCGACCATCCTCTCATGTGTTATAGTAACCGCATCAAGGTCTTAGGCTCCTGCAACGGCCTTCTATGCATCTGCAACATCGCCGATGATATCGCTTTCTGGAATCCTTCAATCCGTAAGCATCGGGTTATTCCATCGGAACCACTCATCCGTAAAGAACCTAAGGAAAACAACGCGATAACTACTCTATTGGCTGCTCGTGTTTACGGATTCGGTTACGATTCGTTTTCCGGCGAGTATAAATTGGTTAGCATTTCGTATTTTGTGGATCTTCATAATCGTAGTTTCGATTCGCATGTTAAGATTTATACAATGAGAACTGATGTTTGGAAAACCCTAACAAGTATGCCTTATGCTCTATGCTGTGCTAGAACCATGGGGGTTTTTCTTTCTGGTGCGTTGCATTGGGTTGTAACTCGAGATCTTGAACCGGATTCGCTTGATTTGATTGTTGCGTTTGACCTAAGGTTTGAGGTTTTTCGGGAAGTGAAACTTCCTGCGAATGTGGATGGGAAGTTTGATATGGATGTGGCGGTGTTGAGAGGGATGCTTTGTATGATTGAGAATAGAGGGAGTAGAGGTTTTGATGTTTGGGTTATGAGAGAGTATGGATTAGTTGAATCGTGGTGTAAATTGTTTACTGTGGAACAACAGCCTGATGTTAAGTTGATAAAATCTTTGAGGCCTTTGGGATATTCAAAAAATGGGGATAAGGTTCTGTTTGAGCAAGATAGTAAGAAGCTATGTTGGTATAACCTTGTTAGTACAGATTTGAGTTGGGTTAGAATTTCAGGAATGCCCAATAACATTGAAGGAACTGTTTGTATTGGAAGCCTCGTCCCTCCTAGTTTGCAGCGTCGAAATGTTCAAAGCAAAAATCCGAAATCCGGGGACGAAAAGAATAAGAAAAGGTAATATAACAGTGCTGAATTTGACAATTCCCTTTTTTTTGCTCAAATGAAAGAAAGTTGTGTTTGTCTGAACTCTTGACTCAATTTGTTTTGTTTTTGTTATGTTTGTGTGATTCTGTCACTTTGTGAGTTGACCTTGACTTGAACAAGTTGTTTCTAGTTCTTTTGTGGGACAATGATTGAGAAAGAAAAGTAGTAAGAAGGGTCCCATTTTTAAATTTTGATGGATGGATATCTAAGTTCTCATTTCTAGAATTAATTTTTCAAAGATGGAATGTGAATTGTGAAGAATTAAGAGTCTCAAAACATGCATATTTTTTATTATAAAAAGATACTCGCATCTAATGAGATCTATGGGTTCTTATTCTAAATTCCCATCTGAACCAGCTGGCTAATATTTTTATACTACAGTTTTTTTAAATAAATGCTTCTCAACTCTGTATGATCTTTCTTGATTGTTATGCATGCTTTGTTTTTTTTACAGGGATGACTTCCTGTCCAAGGGATTCAAATTAACGCTGTAAGGGAGCACAAAAAGAGAGAATAGTATACAGCTGAAATCGGTGAACTAACAAATTCATGAGTTATATCTTGTTGACGGGTACTGAAACTCGCCTGTGCCTGCGGGGAAGAGTTGGAATGATCAGTAACAGAAAGCCTTTTCTTAATTGTTAATTGTTTATGATCTCTCTTTCACTCCCTGTATTGCCATGATTCTGCACCTTTTGTTTTTGTCAGGAGTGAACAGGAACCAAGGTGCTCGAGTTTGCACAACATTCATGACAATGACTGAAACACATATGAAGGGTAAGTCCATCAGTTTGTAGTAGGACTGCCTATACACCTCCTTCCCCTTTCTATCGTTTTATTGTAATAAAATGTAATACTCCTCTGGATGTTGATCCTTTTAGCCGCCTCATGGGATGGTTGCTCTATGTATTTTGCTGGTTGTATTGCATTCACACTTGTACAGGTTGTTGTAATATGTTAACTCAAATACAGTTTTTTTTCCAATCGATGAACTCAAATACAGTTTTACTTGAATGGTTTGGTTGTCAGAAGCAAGTTAGTTCTGATTAATGGAAAACACAGTTTTTGGTTTGGAAGACTCAACTGAATAAACACTTGGTACTCTGTTCTCTGATTAGTTTCAGGAAGAAAACTATTGATGAGTAAACTATTGATATTGACTATGATGAAAATGAACATTGAGCTGTGCAACACAATGGTTTGGAAGTATCTCAATATTGAGCCTTAAAACCTGTCTGACTCGGCTGATTTTTCGGGACTCCACTAGCTTAATTTTGAAAGAAAAGAAAAAGATGCTTTTAGTAATAACTTAAAACTTTCATATTATAATTGCTTTTTTTTTTAGTTTGTAGATTTAACTATGAAATTCACATACAAAAGCTGTGAGGTAAACTGGTTGAATGAGTCTAATAATATTGGGTATTATTAGTTAAGTTAGATCATATGGATAATGGTGCACAAGTATGATAAATCATGTCCCTGAAGCTAGGTTTGGATTGTTCTTTCATCTCCTTGCGTGGTAATGTTTTGTTTCCATGCTCTCTTTGGTTTTTGTTTTTATGATCTCTCTTCATGCTTACTGCAATAACTTTCTTCTTGGGCCTTTGTTAAATGACTTCCGGTACATGGAGAAATTATTCTGTCACCCTCCACTTAAACCTCACATCTTCCCACCTGTATGAATAGACCAAACTAACATTGATTAATTTTTTCCCCAACTTTTCAAATTTGAGGTGTAATAGCGGATTTTTAAAATTTCAAAGCGCATATCAGAATTTGCAAAACAACTATTGGAAACTTCAAAACAAGTAAGTTTTTTTTTGGAAAATTCAAAATTTTTGGTATTTTTTACAGAAAATTTTAAAAAATTTTGGTATTTTATACCTGAAATTTCAAATTTTCTAATAATATCTACTAGAAATTTTAAAATTTTCGGTACTGAGTCAAATATTCTTTACCGGAAATTTAAAAATTTCTGGTAGTTCAAAATATCAAGTCTTGTATCGAAAATTTCAAAATTTTCAGTAGTTTTAAAAATCTAGTTTTGTACCAGAAATTTTGAAATTTTCGATAGTTATAAAAATTCAGTTTTATACCGAAAATTTTGAAATTTTCGGTAGTTGTTATTATTTTTTTTTAATTTTTTTCCTCCTTATTTTGTAGTGAAATTCAGAGGCAGAGAAAGTACTATTGTAGGAAGAACTATGGATCTAGCATCAGACCAGGGTAGGCTGCCAAGGGTGCTGATGTTGAGTCTTCTCAGGTACGGGCAAGGCAAGTGGTCCCCACCAGTTCACACCGGAAGCGGGTGGATGAGCGAGATTATTTTCGAGCACCTCGTTCCATTCGACGCCATGGAGTTTGATCAGCAGAGCAGACTACAAATGAGGTGTTGTCAGATGTTCTTGTAGTTGATCCCGTCGTTGAGCCAGTCGTTGAGCCAGTGGTTGCTCAGGATGCTGTTGAGGAGGTGCGACCGAGATTATTTTCGGGCACCTCGTTCCATTCGACGCCATGGAGTTTGATCAGCAGAGCAGGCTACAGATGAGGTGCTGTCAGATGTTCTTGTAGTTGATCCCGCCGGTGAGCCGGTGGTTTAGTGGTCGTTGAGCCAGTGGTTGAGTCGGTGGTTGCTCAAGATGTTGTTGAGGAGGTGCTACCATATGCTGCTGTTGGTGAGTCAGGCCCATCAGTTACCGTTGATACATAAGTTATAGCTCCTTCGACTTAGTCCTCTGTGGACACTGGTGGAGGATTCCCAAGAGGACCCATTGACTGGTCTATGCTTACAGAGTATGTTAAGCATGTGACCTTACGATTATGGTAGGGTAAGGTATATGTCTTTTATGTTTAATTTTAATTTTTGTTTATGTATGTTTGTCATAATTAAGTATCAACTACTTTGTTTATATTTTGTTGTCACAAGAGCGACCCATACTGAAGATCACATCTCACGGGTCGAAGATGAAGGGGTTTCCGAAGATTTCGATACCTGAGCAGGTCAATTGAATTATACGGAACTTCGAGCTGCTTGATTCACCCACTGCTCACTAACCATGTTGGATGCTCCATTGCTTAGTGCCTTTGTTGAGAGGTGCCACAAGGCGACATCATCATTTCATCATCCGTTCGGGGAGATGACTGTCACTCTAGATGATGTCTCTGCTTTGATCCATCTCACTGTCGGCGACAACTTTCAGACGGTTATGATTCTTAGCATGACAACCGTTTGTCAGGTTGTGTCACATGATTTGAGTTTGTGTGAGGCGGAGGTGCTGAAGGAGTTTGGTGAGACCATGGGTGCGCACCTTCGCATGCATTGGCTTCGAAAGATATACGACCGACTTGTAGCTGATGAGAGGTATGAGGCTGCTGCTAGGGCGTACATGCTACATGTAGTAACATGTACGCTTTTTGCGGACAAGTCTGATACTTATGTTGATGTGTGGTACCTATGCCTCTTTAGTAGCCTCGAGGACACCAACTGGGTTTGGGGGTGTGCTGCATTGGCCCAGTTGTATACAACCCTTGGAGTGGCAACGGTCTTTGAGAACAGACAACTTGCTGGCTACTTGAGTCTGTTACAAGTATACTTGAAATTATTATATGTTGTTGCTTTCGTATTCATTTTTTACGAATATCATTTTTAAATTATTATTTGTTGTGTTTGTGTTTTTATTTTAGTGTATATATGAGCATTTCCCTACAATCTATGACTGAAGGGTGCAACATTGCGAGGTGGGGGCCCCACGGGCAAAGAGGTGGAAGAGGAGAAGACACATCCTAGTAGTGTTGCTGAGTATATGAGGAGGCTCGATGCTCTTACTGTAGGTGATGCCATCTGAACACCATACACTGGTCATAGAGTCCACTGTGAGTTCGATGAGTCATCGTTATATTCAGGTTACATGCGGTGGGAGACCATGGTTGCGAGACACTTGCCCGTGAGGTGTCTGCGACAATATGGTTATGTTCAGGGTATCCCACTACCAATTTCAGATATCACAACTTCAAGAATCGATTGGTGGTTTCACAATAACTTCATCAGCTCTGGTCGTGCCATCAGAGATCGAGCGGTCACTGCTCAACACCCCTCGTAATGTAAGGATAGTTACCTGGAGTGGTACCACACTGTATCACACCCTCACATCACCCCACCCCAGCTGGTGATGGGCCTTCTGATGATCAGATACCTGTTGATGATGTGTCACGGCCTCTTCTTCCTCTAGTATATCACGCTGATGACCAACAACACCTCTAGATGATTGCAGTGATTATGAATAACCTCATGGGTTTGGTAAATCCAGATGGTGAGGTATATACTGGATTAGCTCGGGTTGCACATATAGTACGTGGAGGGCCTATTTAGATACATTTTATATTATTTGTATATTATTCAGACATCTTTATCATAACACTTTATTAGCTAATATTAGTGATCTTCCTTAAATTGCAATGTGAACGTTAAGCATTAACTAGCATCCGACAATGATTTTCATAACTTAAAAAAAACACTTAACATTACAACATGATTAATAAATTAAAAAAACCTAAACACTACCAGACGCTTCAAGACGTTTCAGCATCTCCATTATGTTATCAACAGATGTTGACAGCTTTGTATCTAACTCGATCGACCATTTTGTTATCCTACAACGAAATGATCTCCACATTTCCTTCACATCTTCGTCGATTTTCAACTCAATAAGGTTCTATTTCACCCTTCTGTTTGTACCAGTCTAATCTTCACGAAACTCGGTCTTTCTCACCTTTCTATTGTTGTCATCAGGCAACAATTCATTCAACTTCGACATCAGGCTGACAAAAGAGGTTGTGCCATTGGGAAGCTTAAACTTTACAAGAGGAGAAGCTCCATTGAAGTACACTTCTGCCTTATTAAAAAAATTGGGGAAGATGCATATTTTGAGATGTGTTTATCAACAAGGTGACCTCATATTTATACAATTTTGAATCTATTCTAGACCACACGAATTGCCGGTGCAATTACAGCCTCACAGAACTGTCGACAAAATTCTGATCATCCAAGAAAACCCTAAAAATACAACTACCAGAAATTTCACTTAGGGTGAAATTTCTTATATCAACACGGAAATTTAAAATTTATGGAATATTTTGCCCTTTACCGAATATTCTGAAATTTCTAGTACACCGAAAATTCCAAACGAACTACCAGAAATTTTAAATTGTACCGGAAATTTCAACATGCCTACCCAGGAGCATTTTTGGCATTATAAAATAATGGGGGGTGTGTTAGATGCCAAACTTTGCTTATTTGCTCTATCAAATGTTGACATATTTCATTCTTTTTGTAGATAAATTAAATCGAGTCACGTTTATTTTAGATGATATGCTTCATTGTTTGAAAATGTCTTGGTTGCTTTGATTTGTGTGCTATTGTGCATGAATTAGGCACAAAATAAGAAGAGTAAGACACAAGAACTCTGACAAGGAAATCAAGTCAGCAGCAAAACAT